AGTACCATGACTCGCGACTCGCCGGCCATTTCGGAGTCAACCGCACTATTGCACGGCTTCGACAACGATTCCGATGGCCCGACCTCATTACCGATGTCACTCGACATTGCGACTCTTGCGAAGTTTGCCGACGAAGCAAGCCCCGCAATCGTAATCCCTACGGCGAGTTGCGCCCGATGCCTATCCCACGGGAACCCGGCCTCTCCATTGCCATGGATGTCACCGGACCATTTCCCCGCGATCACCTCGGGCACGACGACATCCTCACGGTTGTGGACCGTTTGAGTAAGTATGCTCGTTTTCTCCCTTGCAAGTACTACTCCACGACTCCCGAGCTGGCACGCCTCTTGCACACCGGTTGGATTGCGGCCACGGTGTACCGGAAGACATAGTCAGTGACCGCGACACTCGCTTCATGTCGACATTTTGGACTGCTCTCATGCAGGAGTTCGACACGAAGATGAAACCAAGTTCAGCTCGGCATCCACAGACGGACGGGCAAACGGAGCGGGCACATCAAACCGCTCAAATGATGCTTCGTACACTCATCCGCTCGGACCAGAAAGATTGGGTTGACCGCCTCCCCGACATCGAGTTCGCCTACAACACTTCGGTGCACCCGACGATCGGCGTGAATCCATTCGAGTTGCACCACGGTGGATGGAAAGGCCGTATCTTCGCCGACCTTCTCCTCCCACGACCAGCCGACATCGACGCCGCTTGCTCTCCTGCTTCCGTCCGAAAGTACAGGGAATTGCTGGCTCAAGCCCGCGCGAATATGCAAAAGGCTCAAGTCCGCATGCAGCAGCAAGCCAACAGGCGTCGCGTGCCATGTCCCATCCGCGCCGGTGATCTGGTTTGGGTCTCCACGGAAGAATTTGCACTGGAATAGGATGTTTCACGCAAACTGCTTCCCAAGTGGTTTGGACCATGGCCCGTAACATCAGCCGCGGGCGACGAGCCCGATGGCCCTTCATTTGTGATCAACATTCCCCCGCATCTGATGGTCCATCCAGTCTTTCACGCCTCGAAGCTGGCAACATATACACCAGCTAAGAGCGACGACTTCCCAGGCTGACGATCGCAGGACCCTCCATCTATGGATGGTCATCAAGAAGTTGACCGCGTCATCACGGATCGCAAGTACGGCAGTAAGCCGCGACAGTACAAAGTTACATTCAAAGCATGCGATCCCGACGACACTCGGTGGATCTCAAAAACAGATTTGAAAGCATCCGCACCGCTGATCTACGCTCACTACAAGCGACAAAGGTTAGCTCAGGGACCTTCACGACCTGCCCCTCCCACCCGGACTGTGGTCCCTCCCTCAGACAGACAGCTTCGCCCTCGCAGGTAAGCTCGGTCTTTCAAGGAGGGGGGGGGGTGGCATACTGCGTAGCCACACGGGCCTGCAGGGCCCGTCCCGCATTCTCAGCCTAAAAGCCTAGAAATAAGGGCTTACAGGCCCCTGTCGTTTCAGCCTGAAAACTGAAAATGAGGGCCTGCAGGCCCTATTTCGTTTTCACCCTAAAACAAGGTTTTTCAGCCCTGAGGCTTTTCAGCCTGAAACGGAGGGCCACTTTCGGGCTCTCATAAGATCAACCTACCCTAACACTCAGGCACAAAACCAGGGTTTTCGGGAACAGGCTATCTTTAGCCTGTTCCCACGACAGCCTCAAGCAGGAGCTGCAGCGGCAGCCCCTGACTCCCTTCGGCATTGGCAAGAGCAGCCTCCTGGACTGCCTCKCCCTGCAGTCAGGAGGCAGGCCGAGTAGTACATAGGGAGTTCCCATGCACTTCACGGGTAGGTAGTTGGACAGAAGGCAGGAGTAGTCTTCAGGATTCGGCCGCAGCACTCAGGAGGAGCGCTGCAGGAGTAGCTTAGTCTTCAGCGCTGGGCGCTAGTAGCCATAGCAGTAGTCTTCAGCGCTGGGCGCTAGTAGGTGGTAGTAGTAGTGTTGGGGAGAGATGGCTGGCGGAGGCCAGTGAGACTTACCTGTGGCGCCATAGC